AAGTGAAATCGACAGAAATGTCATATTTAGATGCTCGTTCATTGGTTCATTTTTGCCGGGGTTTCATATTGTAACAACAGGGAACGTGTTTTTATGTTTGACTATGATACAAAAGAGAAAGAACACCAAAACACTCGGTAATCTGATTAATACTCGGGGGGCTACGCCCCCTCGTACAAATCAGATAACCTCGTGTTTCGGTGCTCTTTCTATTACTAATTATATTAATTGCCAACAGCGCTAAAGATACCAAAGGTAGTACAGGTATATAGCAAATGAGTATAGTTTTGGAAACTGTAACAAGATAATGAATATAAAGTAATTTTTGAGAAATAAAAATGATAGAAATTCTGAGGCATAATGGGCTTTTAAATTATATACATGTATATACTAATAATTAATGTTAAAGGCACATTATGTCTCAAAAACAAATTTTTTTTTACTTCTCTAAAAAGGGCAAATATGAATTTTATAATGTTTAGATGTTTGTTTTAGAGAACGTAACTGTTTGTTACCTGAAGAATATATGTGAAATAATTTGTCATAAAAGAAACAAAGTAATATTTTGACTACCAAAATACCAATTCAACTGTAATTATTAACAATAAGCAACAGATGAAAAAGATGGTTCATGTTATTAGCCAATGAGTAAATTATTGGATACTGTAATTTAAGTACTTTAGAAAATAAAAGGCTTTAATTAGCTAAATGAAATTAAAAGCATTTCCGAGGAATAATGGGCCTTTAAAATGTTTATTATATTTTACCCACTTTTATTCAAATTGATTCATTCACAAGTCACAATTGATGAATATAATGTTTTATTAACATTGCATCACATAGGGTTACAAATACATGTCCGGTCGTAGTAAGTGTATGGAGTGGCAAGTGAACTGTTCCTTTAGCTGTAAAGATGGAACGTTGTCATTTAAAACCTATTAAACTGTCATGGCGATTGACCGTTCTCACCAAACAAAACCAAAAAAAAAAAAAAAAAAAAAAAAAAAAAAGAAAGCAAATTAATATGTGTACTTAAGTTGGACCACTGCCGATCGTTTTTCTCTTTCAGCCTGGATTTCTGTCTGTATTTGAGTTTATTTATACTCGCCACCATCATTTTAGTTTTTTGGAGGATAGTGCAAGATATAGATGCAAAAAAGATGCCCCAATTCCAGAAGCTTATCCTGGTTCTTTAGCGTGCCAAGTGTTTCAGTACTCGTACATTGGACCTCGATTTAAAGTCCCATCCGAAAGACTGATTAGTAATTTTAGTTGGCCAGCCCGGGAATCGAACCCACAACGTCGAGATTACAAGTCTTGCTGTGCTTCCATCCTGGATAAGCTTTATTCATTGATATAACGACATTTTAGCACGCACGATCCTTAAAGGAGCTTGCGTACTAAAAACAAAATGCCACAATTTTTGTTTTCAAGAAAAAAATATTAATTTCTTTATTAGTTACGTATCTTTATCCCAACAAATAATAATAACAATAATAATAAGAATGCTAGCCACTTTCAGATAGTTTCTACCGTAATCGGCAACCTTTACAATACATTTCTGCTTTCAATGGTCGCATTTTATCTCCGGTCGGACAAGTTTGGACGCCTGTAGTATTCTCAAGAAATTACATCTCAAGAAATTGCATCTCAAGAAAATGAAATACGGTTAGGGTCTGAGGGACTAAGCGATGAGTATTGAGATTCTTGCCCAAGCCAGTGAAGGAAACCATCATTACAAGTAGCATAAGTCGAGTATACAAAGTCAGTTAAGAAGTTAAAATGCCCCCAGGTTAATATTGCAAACCAAGTGTGAAACTTTTCTCATACATTTAATAAATATTAGACGTTTTTCAAACGTACATGTTTTGCAGAAACAAAATAATTCTAATATGTACATGAAATGAAAAGTAGAAAAAACTATAAACTTAAGATTTCCTTAGAAATTACATATGATATTTTTAAAATTTCATAACCAGCTTGAAAGAACGAAAACTGATTCCCATTTTGTTTGCGTTACTTCCGTTGTATATATACCAATTTAAAACATGTCTGCAAAAAATTAGCCTCCTTATCAATAGCAATAAGGTAATGGCATATTTTTAAGTCTGCCCTTTGTTCAAGGGGTGGACAGCTCTTTTTTGTCCCTTTCTCGTAAGAGAAGGGGAATTCTGTGATGCGTGTATATGGTCGCACGGTCACTTTCCTTCCATCATTTCCTCGATGCGTGTATGTGGTCGCACGGTCGAAAAACTCTAACACAATTTAGTTTTTTCAGAAGGGTTAATAACTCCAAGATTTAATTACTCCTACATAGCACTTTATTACACCTACGTAGGAGTTATAAACTCCTAATTATGCTTTTTTTAATCTCCTTCGTAGGAGATTAGAAGTCCTAGCGTAGGAGTTTTAAACCAATAATTATCTTTTTTTCTTCATATCAGTTCAACGTAGGAGTTATGAAGTCCTAGGTATAGCATCGTCGGATACCCACGGCCGAACCATTATCATTGATTGCATGTTATGTGACATGTTTATCAATCGTGGGTATCCGACGATGAGGTATAGGAGTGATTTAGTCCTACATGCTTTTTATCTCCTTCGTGTGAGTTATAAAATCCTACGTAGTAGTTATAAGGACCTACGTTGGAGTAATTAAGTCCAACAAGCTTATTGAAGTCTTACGTAATTAAGAAATTAAGTCATAGTAATAGTTATGAATTCCTTATTACTTTTTATCTCTCCGTAGGAGATGTTAAGTTCTATGCAAGAGTTGATAACTCCAAAACAGGATTTAATATCTCCTACGTGGGAGTTATCCTGTGAGAACATTAAAGCTGCACGCCTCCAGATGAGCCAAAATATTTCAAGAATTTCAATCTTTACAAATTTTTATTAAGATCTTAAGAAAAGTAAAAGGATTAAATATTTATTTAATTAATTACATGTTACGTGCTATTAATGGCTGATTTTGCAGTATTTACTTTACTTTACTTTACTTTGACCCTCCGCTCCTCCTGGTGCATAGGTCATCGACGATAGTTCTCAAGCGCTGCCTGTTGCTTGCTGTTAGTTCAAGTTGTCCCCATGTCTGTCCTGTCAGCTTGACATCTGATTCCAGGTCCCTTCTCCAGGTGTTTCTTGGTCGTCCTCGTTTTCTCTTTCCTTGGTGTGTCCATGTTAGTGCCTGCCTTGTGATATTACTTCTCGGCTTCCGTAGGGTATGTCTAGCCAACCCTACCTTCTTCTCCGAATCTCTTCTTCAACTGGTCACTGGATGGTCTTTCTCCATAACTCCTTGTTACTGATGGTTTCAGGCCAGCGGATGGAAAGAGTTCGACGAAGACACTGGTAATCTTATGGTTGGTGGCTTTGGTAACTCTCCAGGTTTCTGCACCATACAGGAGGACTGATTTAACATTAGAGTTAAAAAGTAGAAGCTTGATGTTCCTGCTTATGACTCGTGAATTCCAGATGTTTCTTAAGCTGGACGAATGCTCTTCTTGCTTTGCCGATTCTAGTCTTGACATCAGCATCTGTACCTCCTTGCTTATCCACCGTACTGTCAAAGTATGTGAATGACTCTCCCTCTTCTAGCGGGTCTCCATTTAGATTTATTGGCTCATTTTTGGTGATGTTAACTTTTAGGACCTTGGTCTTTCCTCTCTGATTTTGCAGTATCAATCACTATAATTCTACTGCGTTACCAACGTAGTAAAGGTATTTATGTTTATCACATAAACCGCGGCACAGGAGTGTAATAAAGCCATTTAATAATCAAAGCGCTGAAAGCACTGCTGGGGGCGCATTATGTTGATTGTATAGTGGTCTATTGTTACAAGCAGATGCCATTCCTACTTTCAAAGCAGATGTCACATTTTTACTCTATTATTCGATAAGAATAAGTAGAATTATCCTAGTCATCTGAACATTGGCGTCTATCACCTCAATTTTTCCCGAAGTCCATTGACATATGGCATTGAAACTTTGCACACTTGATCCCGATCAGGCACCCATTTGTTAAAGATTGCCTATGGCTTCAAGATATTTTCGTATTCCATAGACATCTGGCTTTGAAATAAATTGAAATGTTATACATTTCTTTGCGAGCATACTAGCTTGGACTCTCTCCAATGCTTATATCTGTAGAATATTGGGTTTAAAGAAATTTTTGGTCCTTTTGTGAACTTAAAATATTTTAAATAACCAAGGTTCTTCTATTGTCAAGCACTAAGCATATAGTTGAGTGTGCTGTCCTACCAACAGCTATTGTTTGCATACCTTGTGAAATATAACTCCTTCAAACTTTTGTTCAGTTATTATTATACAAACACAAGAACTGTCTGAGGACAGTAAGGCTCGACTATTCGAAAAAGTTGTCACAAGGGTGTTTATTGAGTATAAAAATGCTTACCAATGAATACATAAAACTGACCGAAAAGGTACAAAGGCTTGGATTAAGATGTTTTATCAAGTAAATCACTGCTTTATTATCATGAATGCATAAAATTGTCCCAAAAAAGGCACAAACCCTTCAGTAGTTATGGAGATAACATGCTTACAAGCAAAACTTTACCATTAAATTCTAAGTTGAAAAAGGGGAGAAAAATAAGCCTAAATTCTCGATAAAATTATGGATCTTGGTCAGTAACCTACATGTACAATTATGACCCTAAATGCATGTGAAGTTTTAATATTGTAAGCAGAGTTATCCAACTTGTCAATCTGATGTACATTGTTACTATAAATAACTATTGTAAGTTTCAATTGTATATCTCAAGCAATAATTGAGATATTTGACTTTAAAATAAACTTAAACCAACACAGACGCGGACGCTGGGTTACTACAATAGCTCTCATATTTTTCAAATAGTCGAGCTAAAAACTACCAAGTCATGGTTGAGACCATATAGTTATTCCATATATAAATATATATGTATATATCATGGAAAACATTTCAAGATGTTACAATGGATTGTAGTGTATAACAAGAAAATCAGTGTACTTTAACTTTAATCCAATAATCATACAAACATCTGTAAATAACTGGAACAAAATATTTCTTAAATAAAACCATACAAAACAAGAGGGCCATGATAGCCCTAGATCGCTCACCTGACTTATCAAACTCATCCAAACAATTACCTAGACAAACATTCTGACCAAGTCTCACGACAGGTGAGTCAAAAATGTGACCACTACAGTGTTAACAAGGATTATCCATATTTGAGCAGTGCGACCTTGTTTTTTACTCAGGTGACACATATTCAAACTTGACCTAGAAATCATCAAAACAAACTGTCAGACCAATTTCCAGGATACTTGGATCAAAACAATAGCAACAAGAGTGTTAACAAGATTTTTCTATTTTTAGCTCCGGTGACCTAGTTTCACATGCGATTTCGAACTCATCCAAGCAATTACCTAGACAAGCATCCTGACCAAGTTTGATGATAATTGAGTCGAAAATGTAACCAGTAGAATGTTAACAAGGCTTTTCCATATTTGGGCGGTGTGACCTAGTTTTTCATCCAAGATGACCCATGTTGGATCTTGACTTAGAAATCATCAAAAAAAACTTTTAGACCAATTAACAGAATATTTGGATCACAACAGTAGCCACTAGAGTGTTAACAAGATTTTTCTATTTTTATCTCCTGTGACCTAGTTTTTCATCCGAGATGTCCCATGTTCGATTTATTCCCAGCAATGACCTAGGCAAGTTTCCTGACCAAGTTTGCTAACAATTGAGTCAAAATTGTGACCACTAGAGTGTAGACAAGGTTTTTTTATTTTTAGCTCCTGTGACCTAGTTTTTCATCCGAGATGACCCATTTCCGAACTCATCTGAGCTATCACCTAGACAAGCATCTTAATCAAGTTTGATGATGATTGATGCAAAAATGTGACCACAAGAGTGTTAACAAGGTTTTTCTATTTCTACCCCAGGTGACCTACTTTTTCATCCAAGATGATCCATGTTCAAACTCATCCGAGCTATCAACTAGACAAACATCTTGACAAAAGTTTGATGATGACTGATGCAAAAAGGTGACTGCTAGAGTGTTAACAAGGTTTTTCTTTTTTTAGCTCCGGTGACCTACTTTTTCATCCGAGATGACCCATGTTTGTACTCATCCGAGCTATCACATAGACAAGCATCTTGACCAAGTTTGATGATGATTGATGCAAAAATGTGACCGCTAGATTGTTAACAATGTTTTTCTATTTTTAGCTCCGGTGACCTACATTTTCATCTGAGATGACCCATGTTCAAACTCATCCAAGATATCAACTAGATAAGCATCCTGACCAAGTTTGATGATGATTGATGCAAAAATGTGACGGCTAGAGTGTTAACAAGGTTTTTCTATTTTTAGCTCCTGTGACCTAGTTTTTCATCAGAGATGACCCATGTTCAAACTCATCCAAGCAATTAACTAGACAAGCATTCTGACCAAGTTTGATGATGATTGGTTTAAAAATGTGACCACTAGAGTGTTCACAAGGTGTTTCTATTTATAGCTCCTGTGACCTACTTTTTCATCAGAGATGACCCATGTTCGAACTCATCCGAGCTATCACCTAGGCAAACATCCTGACCAAGTTTAATGATGATTGGGTCAAAAATGTGACCTCTACGGTGTTCACAAGGTTTTTCTTTTTTTACCTCTTGTGACCTAGCCTTTCATCCGAGATGACTCATGTTCGAACTCATCCATGCTTTCAACTAGATAAGCATCCTGACCAAGTTTGATGATGATTGAGGCAAAAATGCGACCGCTAGAGTGTTCACAAGCAATTGTGGACGGACGACGGACATTCACCGATCCTTAAAGCTCACCCTGAGCAAGCTCAGGTGAGCTAAAAACCAAAAACTGATGATGACAGAACGGGTATCACTTTATGCCTATAAAATTTTTTTTGCTCAAGTGATTTTTTTTCGAAGAGCTACATGTGAAATTGCTGCCAAATATACATAAGTAAAATCTATTTCAAAGCTGCATCCATTCATATAAATATATTTAAAAAAAATCAAACTTGATTAAATAAAAAAAAAGTTCAAGGATAGCCCAAACTTGTTAATTATAAAAAAATATATATACAGAATATTATGTTGTAGTAGCTCTCTGAGGCTTTTTATTTTGCTATGAGCAGCGGTGGGAAATTGATATCTTGCGAGACTAAAGGGCGAGCTAGATAACAATTTTCCAACATTGCAAGTAGAAAAATGCATACCCTCAGAAAGCTACTACAACATAATTTTCCTTTAATAATATACCTTTTCGTTTGAAGTATAAATGATTTTCATTATACTACACTTATATAAGAAATTTCAGAAAAAGAAATGTAGCTGTCAAGAAATAAATTATGACTGACAGATGAATCAAAATTTGTGCAAAACCAGCCACACCTTTTATTATTTTGGTTGCGGTTTCCATATACTATGTTATACACAGCTAAGATCAGAACCAACATTAACAAGAACCGGTTGAACCGGGTGATGCTCCCCGAGAAGGTTCTGGACACTGGAAAGTATAAAAAAAATGAACAAAGGGCAAAAACCCCAAAATTAGGCAAAGCTGAGTTATGTTTTTTTTTGCACTGCACTTCTATTCAATTAGATCTATCCATCTATAAAGTTGCCTGATGATATCAGAGTTATGTCCAAGGTAAAATTCAAAGTGTAAAAATGAAATTAGGGTATAAACTCCAAAATTAGACCAGGCTTTCTTTAGGTTCTTTAAGCATTGCAGTTCTATCCAATTATATCTAGCTACCTACAAAGTTTCATGTTGATATCTCTAATAGTTTTAAAGTTATGTCTCGTACAAAAGTCAAAAAGTAAAAATAAACAAAGGGCAATTACTTCAAAATAAGGCAAGGCAGAGTAATAATTCTTAAGCACTGCTTAGAGTAATGTCCCGGACAAAGTTCAAAGTGTCAAAATGATCAAAGGGCAATAACTCCAAAAGTAGGCAAGACAGTGTTACAGTTCTTGTGCACTGCAAACTTACTCAACGATATCTATCTACCTACAAAGTTTCATGTTGATATCTCTTTTACATTGAGTTATGTCTCGGACAAAGTTCAAAGTGTAAAAATAAACAAAGGGGGATAATTCAAAAATTAGGCAAGGGAGAGTTAAGTTTCTTGTGCACTGCTTACCAACTCAATGAAATCTATCTACCTACAAAGTTTCATGTTGATACCTCTTATAGTTTTAGAGACAAAGTTCAAAGTGTAAAATAAAGAAAGGGGGATAATTCAAAAATTAGGCAAGGCAGAGTTACGGTTCTTGTGCACTGCATACCAAGTCAATGAGATCTATCTACCTACAAAGTTTCATGTTGATACCTCTTATAGTTTAAAGGTTATGTCCCGGACAAATTTCAAAGTGTAAAATAAACAAAGGGGGATTATTCAAAAATTAGGCAAGGCAGAGTTACGGTTCTTGTACACTGCATACCAAGTCAATGAGATCTATCTACCTACAAAGTTTCATGTTGATACCTCTTATACTTTTAGAGTTATGTCCCGGACAAAGTTCAAAGTGTAAAATAAACAAAGGGGAATAATTCAAAAATTAAGCAAGGCAGAGTTACGGTTCTTGTGCACTGCACACCTACTCAATTAGATCTATCTACCTACAAAGTTTCATGTTGATACCTCTTATAGTTTTAGAGTTATGTCCCGGACAAAGTTCAAAGTGTAAAAATAAACAAAGGGGAATAATTCAAAATTAGACAAGGCAGAGTTATGGTTCTTGTGCACTGCACACCTACTCAATTAGATCTATCTACCTACAAAGTTTCATGTTGATACCTCTTATAGTTTTAGAGTTATGTCCCGGACAAAGTTCAAAGTGTAAAATAAACAAAGGGGAATAATTCAAAAATTAAGCAAGGCAGAGTTAAGGTTCTTGTGCACTGCACACCTACTCAATGAGATCTATCTACCTACAAAGTTTCATGATAATACCTGTTGTTGTTTCAAAGTTCCGGACAAGAAAAGGGGATGGACGGACGGACGGACAAGGCGGCGACTATATGCTCACCCGAAATTTTTTGGGGAGCATAAAAATAGTCCAGGCCTTTCATTTATGGTACTGTATTTGTCTCTAACATAATACAGAATTTTCTAACCGTTGAAAACTATTTGCGCTTCAAGATAATCCTGTGTTTTAGGAAGAAAATTTATAGGTATATAATAAATGCTGTCATTGACATTTCTTATGCTTATATTTATTATATGTATTTCTTGCAATCCTATTTATAGCTACAAATTCTATGAATTAAAATAGAAATGAAGGTAGCATGCAGACGGTGTTGATATTGTGTGATAAAAATTTAAAGATCATTGGAAATCATCCCAGTAACCGAATACTCTAAATGACCGAGTACTCGAGTATTGATTTTAGTAATTGTTGCCATCCCTAAAAAAATTAAGTACTTGACAAGATCAACTAACATCTAAAATAAAAAACTTTGAAAAACAGAATTAATTATTTTGAAAAATTCACTCTGAGCTGTATTATTTAAAATGGGTGTTCAAACACATTGAAAACATTGATAATTCATTTCATGTTCTTGGTGATGAAGTGGTGCCTCAATATAGTTATCACTGCATTCTATCTTCCCTCATAACTCCTACTATTACTGTATCTGTCAAACAAGCATCTCTGTTTTCTGAAATAGAGTTTTGAAAAAGTTTATTGCTGACCGAGATATTCCATACTTGTATGTTAACTTTTTTTCAGCATCTTTCTGTTAGAATTACTCTGATTTATAAAGGTATAAAACCAAAAAAATGCGCGACCAATGCCAGAGCTCAACCCCACTGATCAGATTTCACAAACGAGCATCTGAGTAGAACCACCGCCTTTTTTTAAAGCTAGCTGGATTGCTTTCTCACATTAAAGAATCCATATTAAATATAATAGAACATTGATAATTGCTACACAGTCTCTTTGTAAACATAAAATAAGCATGTTTTGTGTTTACATAAAGTAGCTATGTAATGTTAAAACACCACATGCTATAGTTGGTCACAATATAAATATATAGTGTTGTTAGGAAACTGACAGTTTTTTTTAAGAAGGACCAAATTTTTTTTGTCTCGTAAGAAGGAACATGGCTTCCAATGCATAGTTAATTCATTCATATTAGACATATTCAAAAAGAATTGCATAGAATTCAATACATTTTCATGATTAAAATATTTTACTGATGAGCATAGTATATCTTTAAAGGTAAGTGGTTTAGGTTGCATTACTTTGACTATGGTCACCCCAATTAAATCTATTTATTTGCTTAGTAACACAACTTTTTAAAGTCATATAAATGTGTAAATGTGAGTGATTCTGATAATCTATATACAGCTAAGTCAAGATGAGATGATTAGGTTTTACTGACTGCTTACTACATGAAGTCACTATTTCAATGTCAAATGCCTTGAGGTGAAAGGAATGAAAACTTGAATTTCAAAATACAATTTAAGTGAATTACATGTCACAAATGAGCCATGTCATGACAAAACCAACATAATGGGTTTGCGACCAGCATGGATCCAGACCAGGTTGGTCTGATCAGGATCCATGCTGTTCGCTTACAAACCTTATTACAAGTAGAGAAACTGATAGCGAACAGTATGGATCCTGATCAGACTGGGCGGATGCCCATTATGTTGGTTTCGTCATGACACGGCTAAAATGTTTTTGCTATCGACTTTTGTTCCTAAATTAACAACAGATTGCATAATGAAAAGATATTGAAATAATTAATATACAATTGGCTCTAAGTGCCAAGCTTACAGATTTTAAATAAACTTTGAGCCCTGTGTTGGCCTTTAAACATGTCAAACATTTAGAAAGTATTTATTAAGGAAAAGTGTATACAAATAATCATGTACCTCTTCATTATATGCCCATGACATTGAAAAAACATTGTGTCATCTGTTTACTTCAAGGTTAGTCACATTGACAGTATCACATTTTAGACTTCATCTCTCGTGTGATTCCATTCATAAAAAGCATCCTCAAAATGGGTCCTCTTAATTTCACATTCATCAATCTGACAAAAACCTCCTGGAAAAGAAGTTAGAAACATATGCCACTAATTATGTCAGTTAATGTCAAATAAATACTTTGAGAAACTATTTGGTCAAAATTGTAAATATACAAAGATTTTCAAACCAAATATATATATAACAATGAACATTTCCTTTTTAACTTTCTAACATATATAATGTATGGTCTTACTTGAAGAAAATGTTTGCCCGTGTGACCGAAAAGGGATTAAGGACCATTACTATTGTTTTTCCTTTTGTTTATTAAAGGGCCATGGCCCCATATTCTATTGTTATGGAATGAATTCTATTGTTCTCTTTTGTTATGCTACAGTAAGATGGATATATATATCAAAGTCAGAAAAAAGCTAACATGTTTTTACCTTAATGGCCTGTATAATTATGTTTCACAGCTTCTCAGCAAACAACCAACTGAGCCACAATTGAAATCTAACAAACAAGCCTTTATTCACAAACCTGAAATAAAAACTTTTCCTAATCAATACAATAGTTCTTTTAATTTATTACATACTTCATTGAAACATTAAGAAATATTGATAAAGTAAAATGCTCATTTTCATTTCCTGTATTTTCAATGTAATTATTTCATTTTTCATTGCGTATTTTCACAAGTGTCTCCTAAATTTAGCCTATACACAATAGACTGTAAAGAATAATAGGGCAATTTCTTTATAATTTCAAGTATTTATAGTCGAAACAGTCCTTTTTTAAAGGCATATATATGGGTAAGTTGAATGTTGCATGTCCAGATATGATTGACTAACAATAATTATTGTAAAAGTGAGTAATAATTTGTCGGAATCATAGCTCAATCGGTAGAGAACATAGCTCGAGGTTACCAGATTCAAAAAAAAAAAAATTATTAATTTTGTTCTGACATGTCAGGAACAACTTAGACATGTCAGGAACAACTTGAAATTTAAAATGAGTTTTTCGTTTGATTGATTTTGTAACCTATCTTACTTTTTCATTGAAGTATCTTTACCTTCTTAAAAATTATGCCCAAATCTCATTTCTTTCTCTTTTTTTTTAAACTTCTTTTCATGAATTTAATATGAATACTTTCAACAGATTTTAAAATAATCAAAATACAACACTGTTAAGCATATATAACTGTTGTCAGGATTAAGTTTTGTTTCATCAAAAAAAAACTTGAATAGAAAATAAAACAGTTTCCACCTGTAGTTTGGAACCCACTAACTGAATTCACTTTTATATCAATATTATGCAGTCTTAAACTTATTTCACTAGTAAGTCAAATGATTTATTATCTCAAACAATGTAATTACATGTAGTATAAGTTTTATGGAAATAATGTGGTTAATCACTTGCAGTTAATCAAGGCTTGACAAATCCACTTGTCCGCTCATAAATGATAAATACGAGTAAAAATGACTCTGGACAAGTTAATCTCCCAAAAATGCCCGTCCTGCAGGACGTGTGAAATTTCTAGCATAAATTAATCAAATTTCAATTCAATTCTTTTGAAACCATTTTTTCAAGTTTTACTAGTAGGACAGAGCACAAAATAATTCCCCTGTGTTTGATGGGCAAAACTGATGTTGATTTGTTGAATGCCAACGCTTAATTCTGTCTGATTCTATTTTGTAAAAACTTACTAAAAGCCTGTGCGGCGATTCCAGTATGTTCCACAATTTTTTTTTAAAATGTCCACAATGCAATATTTGGCAAATGTTTAGCCAGAAAGAAGTAAGTTAAACAGTGTCTTCAAAAAAGAAAAAAATGTCTTCAAAAAAAGAAAAATGAGTCAGAACATGTAGGAAATTTTATATTTTTTAAGCATTGTTGTTGTTGTTGTTTTTCGTTTTTCAATCCCTGATATATTATTTGTAGTATTTGTAACTATTATCTATTCTATTTGTAATAGAACAGCATTTTTCCCTTATAAAACTATTTACATTCCCAATAAAAAAAGACAGCAAATTTTCAAAATGTTTTATTTTTAAAGTCCCCAAATTACTGTCAAAATTCCCATCCAAAATTGGCATATATAAAATGGATGATTTCATATTGATAAGTGATATGTGATAAAAACCAAGTTTAACTACATCTGACAGAGCAATATTTGTAACCTAGTTCATTTTATACTTCCGAACATTAATTTATGTACATGTACTCATTTTTTTCACTCCAATAAGAAATCAATATATTATGCATGGTTTAACTTTAAATGTGTATAAATATTATGCATAATTCTCATGTCTCCCTGGATAAAATTCTAAATTAACCATGTGGCATGAATACCTGTCAGTTATGTAGTATCAATTTGAGTCAAAACGCATTTTTTCCAAAAAAAAATTGTACTGGTAGCGTATAGATGTTACACAGAACTAAGCAAATGTCAGGGTTTTTCAATGCTAATCCCCAGTGTAAATATAATTATAACCTTACTCAAATTTCTTAAAAATGAGGGGTGAAGTGTCTGCAAAAAAGGGCCTAGGGTGAAGTGTCTGGGGGGTGAAGTGTCTGTAAGCCGAGGTGATGGACAAGGCAAGACATGTCGATTTTTTTTTTAGCTTATTATGAAGTTGCAGTACATGAGAGACTGGCACATGATGAATCAGCACATAAATAAAACAATCTAGTGTTCTGTGGTTTCTAAGTGTCATACCTCAGCTCTTTTCCTTATTACAATGAAATTTTAACATGATTGTTATCCACCGCTGGTTTGTTTAAGCAGTGAATGATAGGTACCGTTTCAGCAGATTTCGCAAAGAGGGTACAAATATGGATTATGCACCGTGGATCCAGTTCATTCTTTGAGAAAATGTAATAAGACATCATTACTGAACTTGTAATATTTTTATTTAAAAAAGCTGTAAGGTAAGCATCAACAATATGTATACGCTAGATGTAAATAACTCACCTCCAAAAAATATATATAAAAAAAAAATGGGGTCAAAAATGTCTGGTAGGAAATGGTTTGAGAGGACTTTCAAGGGAAGGAACTGCTAACTTAAAATTTGATAAGGTCAATTCAGTACAAAAAAGCTTTACCCGATAATGGCCGATTGTGAAGAAAATTTGTAAAAAATACAGCTTTTGATTGCAACTTAAATATCAACGTTATGAAATATAAAACAATGAACATCAGTCATCTTGAATAACGTTGTATTTAAAGTCATATCCGGTATTAGTCCTTGTATTTTTTGTAAGCAACCAGAATCGCCAACGATTTGACGACGATTTCGCCACTGATAAATGGATAATATGCAAAACAAGCAAGTTTATACAACATTTAGGTAAATGAGAGATAAAGGTTTTTGTAAAATAAAGCTTTACAACTCGTTTTAAACACGTGGAACTTCTATATAAAACTTTCTTCAATCTTTCACGGCTGATGAACTTGTAAACAATGGCGATTGCGGGTAAAATGACGTAAGGGCGAAAATAGTTCCGTATTCATACGCATGCATTGTTTTTCTTAAATTTACACTTATGAAGCATTAGGCCCTATAAGCTTTAAAGTTAACTGATCTGAAATCCGTATTCCATTACTTTGCTAATTTTGAGTTCTATGACACTTAATTAACATTGTGACTACATGTAATTGTACTATATTTATGCAAGTACTTTGGCTATGATCGACCGCTGGCGTAGTAATATTAAAATCGCGTAAGCAAAATATACATACAATTTTAAAAGACGATTGCTAAATTTAGTACAAAATTGGCCAGTCAATTTAAAATAGATAGGGAACTATGATTTTGGAGTTACTGCGAAGTTTTGGAACTATTTTGCTTAGCGTAGGTAGCTGACTAATTGTGTTCACATCATAGTAAATCTGAATTTGTCGTTATTACATTGGGGGCGCATTGCGCATGCGCCCCCAAAAACGATATTACACTATAGGGTTAACGCACGTTTTTCCGTGTTATAACGTCTGCAGAGTCCCGAGGAACGGTTGGTGCCCGAGCCCGGTAGGGCAAGGGCTCCAACAGTTCTTAGGGACTCTGCAGACTTTATAACACGAAATAAACGTGCGTTGACGCTATTATAGCATAAAATTTTAAAACAGATTCATGATGTATATTTAATACAAAACACAATACATTAAATCCTTGTGCTTGGACGGTATTTATCCAATTCTACATGTTTTACGTATGCCTTTTATTTTCCGGGGCCAAGAACGAATCGAACGAAATTTGAATTTAAATTGTATTATAAGCTTGACATTGGAGAAATATTATCTCAAGGGAAAAAAAACAAACGTTACATTACCTACCCAATACAAAACATGGCCCTCAGAAATTCTTAGAATGATTTCAGATTAGACGGTAGAAAAAAGATCAGTGACGTCAATCAGAAATCGGGTTTTTTCAAGCACACAAGTTTATAAATAAAAAATCAGGCACTAAACATTATTCTCTCAAAGAAAATATAAAGAGCATTTATCAAACATAAGCATCAATAAAACAACATGTTCTCATATTCATTTGTGTTATCTTGTTTTGTAAGTTAATCGAGGGTTAAACTGAATGCCAGTAATTTGTTTACATTGACAACTGTCCGTTTCTTAGAAAGGGCGACAACCAAGATTAGCAGCGATGTCTATACGCCGTATTTTCGGCATAGTTACTTGAATGCTGCTCGCCGTATTTAAATGCGATTGAGGCCCTCGAATCCATAATTTCAATATAACAAGAGCGCATGACTCTTTGACAACAAACAGGCCAAATCGTCATTTTTTTTGGGTTTTTTTTTTTACTGGGCCCTGTATGTATTGCGCATAGGTGAAACCGGGCTATAACAAGAGCGCGTGACTATGTTAACAATGGTTTTGGTCCGTTATAACATGGGCAAAATAGGGGAAAATAGCCGATTTTATGCTATATAATATAGGGTTAACGGCACGTTTTTCCGTGTTATAACGTCTGCAGAGTCCCGAGAAACGGTTGGTGCCCGAGCCCGGTAGGGCGAGGGCTCCAACAGTTCCGAGGGACTCTGCAGACTTTATAACACGAAATAAACGTGCGTTGACGCTATTATAGCATAAAATTTTAAAACAGATTCATGATGTATATTATATACTAAACACAAACATAAAATCCTTGTGCTTGAACGGTATTTATCCAACTCTACATGTTTTACGTATGCGTTTTATTTTTTCCGGGGCCAACAACTTGAGAACCGAACGAAATTTCGAATTTTAATTGATTTAACAAAGTTTAACTTTGGAGATATATTAACTTAAGAAAAACATAACATTACTCTACCCAAGACAAAACAGACGCCTCAGAAATTCCTAGAATGATTACAGATTGGCGGTAGGAAAAAGATCAGTGACATCATATTCAATTTCAGAATCGGTTTTTTTTAAGCACGCAAGTTTAAAAAAAATCAGGCATAAAATATTATTCTCTCAAAGAAACATACAGAACATTTATCAATATAAACGTCAATAAAACAACGTTTTCTTATATTCATTTTGTGCTTTCCATTTTTGTAAGTTAATCGGGGGATTAAACTGAATGACAGATTCTATTTGTTTACATTGACAACTGTCCGTTTCTAAGAAAGGGCGACAACCAAGATAAGCGGCGATGTCTATACGC